CTTTTAGAAATTCTCCTTCTCTAGAGAGGAAGATTTCTTTTTTCCTTTAGAAATACTCTTTTAGAAATTTTATGCACTTTGCAGATACGATTTTCTGCATTTATGCAGAAATATCACGTACTTTTAGACCCATTTGAAGGTTCTTTAATTAGGCTCGAAAGAGGGGGTACCTAATTATTGCACGCTGTGAAAACTGGTAAGATCGGTTATAATCTAATAATCTTAATTATGAAGTCAACATATATTGAAATACAAGCAGAAGACCGCGGATTGTTCGGGCGTAAAATAACGATCGGGAAGATTAACATTTATAACGTATCCATTTTAGCTGTCCTGATGTTTAGGAGACCAGAATATACAGAATAAAGTGAACTCGCCATCTGAAACATTTCAAAAATTAAATATATCAATACAATATTTTAATAATTAATATTAAAAAATGTAGTAAATATACTTTAATCGGAAATTTCTTGGTAACGTTGAAGTAATCATCCATGGATAAGCATAAAGATACTTTACCAAATCTCTTCATAAAATTCAACATCTATAAAATAAATGATCGTCATTACTGTATCTAAATTTTGCAAAAATTACACATTTATTTATAGAAAAAATTTAAATAGTTTACCTTTAATTTCTGTTCTAAACTGAGATCGCAATCAGCGAATCTTCTTATATCTTGAAAGGATGTTTGCATCTGAAAGAGGAAAAAAGAAAGCGAAACGTTTGATTAAATTCGTGAATGAAATTATTTTCATTTGAATAAAATTTCTTACGTTTGACGTAAAAACAGACATCAAGAATCCAAATAAAATACAGCCAAAAGTTGATAAAGCACAAATTATAAAAATGAGGACTTTCAATGCGAATTTCGTTTTCGAAAAAATTGCAATAAAATAAAGTAGACACGTTTCTGTTAATAAATTTGCATACAAAATCGTTAATATATAATTGAATGGTCCGTTTAGTTGATTGGTAAAAGTCCAAATTTCATGGTGTTGTACCATAATTTCTTCCAATTCAACTTCCAACTTTGGATTATCTTTCTTTAGTAAGTAAAGTTCTTCCGATACTTTCTGGAATGCTTTTGATAAAATAACAATAAACATGGAAAGAAAGAAAGCCAGGTATAAAAAACCTCCACTAAGAAAAATCATCTATATTCCAACTTCGATGCTACAGAAAAGTGCTTCGAATTTGAATAATTCTCTTTTTTTCAAATCTTGATAAAAGAAAAATACGTTTAATATCTGAAGCCATAATGTAATAATTATTGTCAAAATCACTGTGGCAATATCTATGTGATTAATGATAGAAAACAACTGATTTTGACAAAAGTAATTTGAACTTCTTAGTTTTATTTTTGTATTTAATTTTACTCTTCTGACGATGCTGAACATTACGGCAAACACCAAAGAAAGAAGACAGACGCTTACTTTGACAAAGATGTCGTTGTCGACAATCAAATACCAGGATATACAGGGCGTTTTGCTTGACACAAAAGGAATTGTCATGCAAAAAGTGAGGAGGAAATGCATCCAGTAGATAAATTCGATAAAGTGTAAGTAAAACCTGTTCAGAAATTTTAGCAAATAATTGTGATTTCGTATAACACATGAACAAGGATTGAAGAAATTCCATCCATATATAATTGACATTGAGGTAATTGGTGACAGAAAACATTTCAGACATATTTCCTCTTGAAAACTTATAAGTTTAGGCCGAACACCTGATGAAGTTTGCATTTTGTTTTTTCGGATAATTGTAATAATCTTAGCCACGTTAACGAGGTAACAACGTTATGTTTATACTTCAATACAATTATTAAAAGTGAAACTTATCCGCTATAGAAAATAAGCAAAGTTTCTTTCTCAGTTTCCACGATGAATCGTAGATTGGTATTTTGTATTCACTTATATAAAACATATTTTACTCTAATCTATTTTATAAGCGATTCTTATAAATGGAATTTTAAAACGTCCATTTATCAAACTAAAAGATGCCTGGAATTATAATAGCAGTTTAAACTTACACAGGAGAATTGATATTTATGAAAGATGAACAAAATTAATTATTAGTAAACATAATAAAGTGTTCGCTTTTTAAATTAATGCATTTATGTTTGGTATTACTAATAAATTTCACTCTAAAATATGTATATGATATTTTAATTATAGTACAGTAAGTCTTTGGAAACATTACTATTATTGGTATTCGCATTTTCCTGAAAATGCATTTCCAAGGCTATACATGAACTCTCGTCTTTTAAACTCGTTAACTTTGTCAATATTGAAACTGAATCGATACATCTTTCGATTTAACGTATAAAGCATTTGGAACCAGGATAAAATTTAAATATGCCTTTCATTTGTCTGCTACAAGTTTAAAATCACGAAGTGTTTTTCATTAACATAATGCATATTACATTTCAGTACAACAAGAAAAGTACCAAAAAATTATTAAAATGGGCGCATTTGAACATAATAATGACTTTCTGGTAAATTTTGAAGAACAGTGTTGTTTAAAAATGTACAATTACACGTTTTTGTGTATTTTTTATACTGTAATGCGACTCTTTTTATATGAATTTGTTAGTTAGAACATTTTTGGTATTTTAGCGCTTTGTGCACGTGCCTTTTTCTGCCTCTGTCCACACTACTCTGAACGGTATTAATCCATCTATGTTTTAAATGAGACAAAATTCAAATTAATCTAAAACATATTTCAATTCTTGCTTTCTGATAGGGCTGGTGTTACTCTGAATGACTTTTCCAATATAACGAACCTTTTTTTTTTATTTTTAATAACTTGAATTATCGAAGAGTTCAATTTCTCAAAACAAGTTTTTATCAAAGCAAACAGAATAATATTAACGAGAAAAACGTTCAATAAAATGCAAGGTGGTATACAACATACAATGTAGAAATTATGACAAAAATGATTTTAACCTATGGTGAAGTTGAGAAACGGGAATAAAGAAAGAAATTGATGTATAAAGTTCCAAACTTATTACAGTGTCACATATTACACTGTCAGAGCATAAATTAAATATTGTGTTTGAGTGTTCGTGTTGGTCACAAATGAAAATATCCGGGTTCAGAAACTTTTTTTGCTTGAAAGATTTAAACACGAAACAAAATGAAAATTGTGTTCATAATTATTAGCATCAAAATATAAATTTCTTTTACTGAAAACAATTTTAAGTATTGTTTGCAGACGATTTCAATTTCAAGTGTTTGCAATAACCACAAGAAATACATTAAAATAAAGTATAACTATCAACGATAAAAGTTGTAAAATCTGTTATTTGTTTTGATTTATAGGAATTGCTTTTATTCATAAATTCGATAAGTCGCGAAATTGTTTCGATTAAACAAGTAACATCCATTTTAATAATTATCTTGTTCAAGTTTAAAAAGGAAGCTTACACTTCCTTATCCGTGGCCGAGCAAATAAAAGCACTGTACTTGCAATTTGTCGTGGGTTTACACTTCACCAACGAGTTTGCCGCGTAAAATTTTAGGAGTTTTCTTTAGGAGGTAGCATTTACACAAGGAATATTTTCTCATATAAAAACATCCTAACTTCGCACATCGTCGAATAAAGTGTTGCGTTGGTTTCTTCGGTAAAGCCAAGTGAAGTCAAACCTCACTTCCAATATTCACTTATACAAAATTCTAGGCAAACACTTGAATCGCATTCTTATACTATAGATTTTGAAACATAAACATATAACTTGATCGGTAAATTTGATTTATTCCGACGAACACCGCTTTATTTCTACAGATCTGTATTCCGATGTACACAGTGCCAGAAAAAATTTACCCCTTGGTAATTATATTCTGTTAGTAAATATTGTGACGCAAAGTAATTATCAATTTTCGTTAAGTTTAGAATATTTATTGGCTATTACAGTAAACAATCACTGGAATCCTCAGCTAAAGTACAATTTCTTCATTAGGTTATCTAATGAAATTAATTGCATTTGATAATAAATCTTTGCAATAATTTAATTAAACAAATAATATGATATTTCTTTTATAATTTATATTACTTGAATTATTGCATTTCATTTTTAATAGAATTTTATTCTATAAATATTTTAAATATATTCTATTAATGGGTTTTTCTGTTAAGTGAATAGTGTAAGAAAATGATAGCTTCATTGAAAGTCTGCTTCTACTTGCGATATTTTAATATCTAAAAAAACCCTCGTTGCTATAAAACACTTCAAAACTTTAAACAAGTATTTTATATCGATTATTTACTTACAAAACAACAGAAACAAAGAAATAGTTTATAATCTTTCTAGTTATAAGTTTTATAAAACTTACAACTGAAATTTGCGATAGAGACGTAAAGTAACGAGCAATTGTTTACGACATCATCACAATTTCGAAGTGCAATTTTTACTTTATTTAATTTAAAATATATGCTCTCCACTTAAAAATTTACCCCTGTATATCATACTTCTCTTTGAACAATAGTCGTACCGGTCGTCTATCTAACAATTTTATCAAAAAGTTTTTGAATTGAAATAAGGTGACTTTCGGTTCTCATCGAAAGTTCGTCTATAATTAATCAGGTTCTTCCCTAATCTTTCCATATATGGTTTCGATTTTCATCTATTCAACTTTGTTCTCGAAATTAAGGAACAGACAGACAGGCAACAGTGGAAATTTATAAATCTACAATTTTTTCAAATTGCAGCTCGTTGTTCTCACTGTTAGCTTAAATAACTGCAATGAAATACTTGTGAGTTCATATCATCGAGCAGATAAACGACGACATTGGCACTTGTCCTACGACAATATTATTACACAGCCTCCTGGATATGAGCAATACTGTTAACTGATTAAACTGTATATATTTCTCGATTCTGATTAATAATACATCAGCCTACAAATAACTATTCACGTATATTAGAGTAAGAATAACCTAATATGTTGTACTAAATTTGTCAGTAATTTTTTCTTAAGCATAAATAAGGTCCAGCATTCATACGGTCTGAAAATCTTTTAAACATGTAAACACGCATGTAAAATATGTAATTAAATAAATATTACTAATTATTATATTGAAATATATCTTTATTTGAAACAATTACATTGAACATATCAACTACAGAGTATTATGTCTCGAAGCTGTTCTCAGTTTTAGAAGACCAGAAAATACGGAGTAAAGAGAACTCCCCATCTGAAATATTTCAAAATTAAATATATCAGTACAAAATTTTCATAATTAATATTATAAAATTAGTTAAATATACCTTAATCGGAAATTTCTTGGTAACGTTGAAGTAATCATTCACGGATAAGCATAGAGATACTTTACCAAATCTCTTCATAAAATTCAGCATCTGTACAATAATTTATTGCTGTTATTATATTGAAATTACAGAGATATTATGAAAATTTATCTGTTAATATAACAGATTCATAATATTTAACCTTTAATTTCTGTTCTAAACTGAGATCGCAATCAGCAAATCTTTTTATATCTTGAAAGGATGTTTGCATCTAAAAGAGAAAAACAAAGCAAAAAGTTTGATCAAATCCGTATATGAAATTATTTTCATTTTAATAAAATTTCTTACGTTTGAGGTAAAAACTGACGCCAAAATTCCAACTAAAATACATACAAAACTTAATACAGCGCAAATTAGAAAAATAAAGACTTTCAATGCGAATTTCATTTCCGAAAAAATTGAGATAAAATAAAGTAGACACGTTTCTGTTAATAAAGTAGCATACAAAATCGTCAATACATAATTAAAAGGTCCGTTGAGTTGATTGGTGTATGTCCAAATTTCATGGTGTTGTGCCATAATTTCTTCCAATTCAAGTTCCAAGTTTGGATTATTCTTTCTTAGTAAGTACAGTTCTTCCGATACTTTCTGAAATGCTTTTGTTAAACTAACTGCAAGCAAGAAAAGAAACAAACAGAGGTATACCAAACCGCCACTCATCAATGTCATCCATATTCCAACTTCGATGCTACAGAAAAGTGCTTCGAATTTGAACAATTCTCTTCTTTTCAAGTCGTGATAAAAGAAAAATACATTCAAAAACTGAAGCCATAATGTGATAATTATTGTCAGAATCACTGTGGCCATTCGTGTGTAATTAATAATAGAAAACAGCTGATTTTGGCAGAAGTAATTCGATTTTCTTACTTTTATTTTTGTATTTAATTTTACTCTTTTAACAATACTAAATATTACGGCAAATATTAAGGTAAAAGTAGCGACGCCTACTTTGACAAAGTCATCATTGTTAACAATCGAGTACCATGAAAGGCACGGCGTTTTATTTGAAAGTAAAGGCACCAGCATGCAAAAACTAAGAAGGAAATGTATCCAGTGTATGCACTCGATATAGAATAAGTAAAATCTCTTCAGAAGTTTGTGCGAATAATTGTAGTTTCTTGTAACGCACAAACATGGATTGAAAAAGTTCCACCCGTAAATCTTTGACATAGAAGTGAATGATGACAGAAAACATTGCAGACATATTTCGTTTTCAAAAGTTAAAAATGTAGTTGTAATAAATGATGAAGTTTGCATTTTGTTCTATTCAGATATTTATAATAATCTTTTCTATGTAGAAATGGTTATTTTTGTTTATTAAAAAATTTATTGCAGACAAAAATGGGCCGAGTGGATGAAGTCCGTTGAGTTTATAATTCAGTTTCCTAAGAACTATGAATTAAGCTTTGCTATATTCATACTCTTTTATATAAGCCTTGTCTTAATTTAAGCGATTTTAATTAGTTCTCATAAGTGGAATTGTATAACTTTAATTTATGAATCTAATAAGTGCCAGAAGTCATAGCAGCACTAATTAATAATCTGCACAAGTTGATTTAAATCTACGATACTTCACTTTAATTAGCAAACAATACAATGAATTGGTACGCTTTTTAAATTAACGTAATTAAGTGCTTTAGAAATCGCTGTAATGGTAAAATATTGCTGCTGTTTTATTTTTTACTCGAAGTGCATTTCTAAGACATATAGGATAATTATTTGTTCTCTTAGAAATGCATAAATTATATAATGTGAAGATTAAAAACCAAGTGAATGCAACTTTCCATTTGGGATGTAAAGTCATTAATGCTTCTTAAAATAGAGAATATGACATCAGCAAACACTTCATTGTCTAAAACAATGGTTCCCAAACTTATTATGCCCGCAGTTCCCTTCTCATAGCAAAAACTTGAGTATAAACTCCAAGTGAACAACTCTACACAACTACATAATGGCAAACTTAAAATTTTAACTTTGGTGTCTTAAATGATGATGTACAAATTAAATATAAATAAAACATGTTGATTTTTAAAGTAGTATTTATTCAAATTACGAGCTAAAGCTTGCTCGTTTTTGAAAAACAGATATGATGTAATGACAAAAGAAAAAAATATATACTGTAGACCCCCTATAACTACGGTTCCTATAATTACGATTCCTATAAAACTGCGAAAAAATTGCGACGGTATCCATAAAAAAAGGTAAAAAAAATTCCTATAATTAGGTAAAACGTTATCGGGCAGCCGAACTACTTTCCGTGCCGTCAAGCGCTACGCTACAGAAAAATTACTATCATCTGTACAGTATTATATATAAATTAGGTACTGTATATATAATTATATATAAATTAGATACTGTATATATAATTATATATTAACTTAATTTATTGTAACTTTATTATAATTATATATATNAAATAAAGAAATTAAACAATTATTTAGAAAATATTTATTGAATGATTACCCGAAGAATAAAATTTGTAAGTGGTATAATTCTTTTATAAATTACAGATATAATGTTAAAAATTGTATAGATAATAACATTTATGTAAAAATGCCTTATATATATAGTTTTTATGAACGATATAAACCTTTATTTAAAAAGTCTTCTGTATGTGTAGTGGCCAAGCAGGAAAATAAAATGTCGAATGTTATTAATATTATAAATACTAAAGGTCGAAAAACAGTAAGAAATCAGCTTGACGTCGCAGGAGTGGTCTACAAGGTATCATGTGATTGTTTACAAGCGAAATCATATGTTGGAGAAACGGGACGGAAGCTCGAGATACGCCTAAAAGAACACGAGGCAGCGATTCGTCTAAAAAGACAAGAGTCACCATGGTATCAACATTGTGTTAATTATAATTGTAAAATTAATAGAGACTCTGTAAGAATATTGTATAAAATGGAAAATTTGTTTAAAAGACGTGTGGTAGAACATCTTTGTATAATAGAACATGCAAATTTGTTGAATCAGAATGTCGGTCTTAACGTTGATGCATGCTGGGAAAAATTTATTTGTATAAAAGGAAATAAGTGTCTGGTTGTTGGATAATCCACTGATGAGGCTGTAAAGGCGAAATGCATTTGGAACGTGATTTGAAAACTATGAAAATAAAAGAATTAACATTGGTTAAAGTAAAGTATCTTTGTTGATTACTATTTGTCCGCTAATATAAATCACTCGAAGTCGGTCTAGGAAAGAGTGTTTTAATTTACTCGTCTATTTTTAGAAATTATATTTTTAAATTATTTATATATTTTTAGTTATTGAACAATCTTTATAATTATGAAAAACAACTAATAATTATAACTGTTTTGGAAATAAAATTAAATGTATTAAATAAGTTTTCTGGATAAATAACCTGAAATTTGACGGTAAAATAAAAACACTACACCATTCGTACATTTCCAGCAATAACTTTAATTAATCGGAAAACAAACGTTTACGTCAGTACGTAAAAATGACTACCAATTTATTTATTACTATTTATTTTTAACTTTTATAATAATGAAAATGACTCACAATCATTTTGCCTTTTATTAAACTTTACGCAGACCTTCTGACGTTGTCCACGCACCCCCAAATTACTGTAATTTTAATTTGTCACGAACCTCCTCAGCAGTTTCAAAAAACCTCAATGCTCGTAGGAATCATTTTCAGGAACATTGGTCTAAAATCGAATACCCACATGCAAGGCGTTTTGTTAGTGTTATATTTATATTAGACAATAAAAAAATTTAATATTCTTGTCGGGTGTAATATCATTGTTTAAAAAACGTTTTGTACGATTGTTATAGAATGTTGAAAACGTGCTGAAGAAAGGCTTTCAAGGATATTGCAAAAGAATTATCGTATAGAAAATTTGTCCAATGAATAAAAATATCGAAGACTGTCGTTCAGTTTCCGGGATGAAGTGTGCTCGTACTGATTTATGTAAGGATAATTATATTTAATTAAAAATTTCTTTCGAAAATCAGGAATGTTTAAAATTATGTTTGTTTTGAAAAATTAAAAGCATTAATTAATTTAGTTTTAAAAACGATAATTAAAATATTGTGTTATTTTACTTGATTTATAAAGCCGAGTTAATTTGTTTGCTTTCCAAACTGATGTGTTTTAACTATAACTTCATGAGGAATGTCTTTTAAATTACTTAACGCATTAATTAATTTAGTTTTAAAAACGATAATTAAAATATTGTGTTATTTTACTTGATTTATAAAGCCGAGTTGACTTATTTCCTTTCCAAATTGATGTGTTTTAACTATAACTTCATTAGGAAGATCTTTTAAATTACTTAAAATACGGCTAATGTATTTTATTAATAAAATCTCTTAACCCGTGCAAAAGACCGCATGAGTCATTTTAACTTCGGATCTATTGATAATACACCGATAGTGCTACTTGTTCATAAATGGCGCGTATAATTGAATTAAGTCGTATACCGAACAAAANTTCGATTAAATATATACCAACTTCTAATACAATCCGGAAATTACGTTATCTCAATTGAATCTAAAATATGATTAAAAATTGCGGTCTGGCTTTGTGACGATGTCACAATAAATAATTGCTTGTTTTCTGTAAGAATTCCAGTCCAGGAAACAATCGGATGTAATGTAGTTTTATTTGCAACCAATTTGCATTTGGCTTTTTCTTCTGGTATAGATTCTATTCTCTCGACCCCTTTATATAATTGTAACACACTAGTGATAGTTTCATGTTTTACAAATACATGCTCATTTGTAGATACAACCTACCTGTCTTTTAAATATTAGTAGCTTAACTCCTTTGAGCATTAATTTTCTATTAATTTATCATTGGATTAATATACGTTATGTTCATGCATGTTTTTAATTCCAATGTAAACAGCTGTAATAGCAACATGAAGTACATGGTGATATAACTTTGTGTGTGTGCTCTAGATGGCAGGGATGAAATTCAATCTGCAATAACCTGTTTTTAGGAATACTGCATAGCCTTATATCCTGAAGTTTACTCAGTAATGAGTTGGCTTTGAGTTGTGAAACAAATTGCAAGTTCCATTTTTAATTTTTAGGTAAACGGTATGCCAGATATATCGTACTCCTTAACTTTCAATGAACCTATACAATAGATTATTTAGGCCTGACTCAGTACATTGATAATACCCCGCACATTACATTATAAGACAATCTACGTACACTACAGAACTGTGTATATATTTTTGAAATTTGTTCGATCGATTTAGAAAATACTTTGCCATTTTCCATTAATTGCGATGAGGATTCGAAAAATATAATAAAGTATGGGGTCCACGACTTCGTGTTCGTAATACTGTGAGTTAAAGAGATAAAGTAAATTCTTCCTGATGCCGCTGAGCACACCTAACGAAATTTAAGAGACAAAATACAAAATAGCATTGCACGCGGCTAATGAAAAAAGGGGCTTATAACAAAACAATACACAAGGACAAAGCAATCGACGCAAATTGATTTGTGCACAAAACAAATTTTTTTTTTTTTTTTTTTTTAGTAGAACCTGCTAAAGGCGCAAAATCTTGGAAATGCTTCCTTAGAAAACTGCACGATTATCACCGTACAGTAAGTGTATTTAACTATTGTTATTGACGTCTTTATTATAGTTGCATGTTTAAATTATACAGAATATATATATATAATATATATATATATATATATATATTATATATATATATTCTGTATAATTTAAACATGCAACTATAATAAAGACGTCAATAACAATAGTTAAATACACTTACTGTACGGTGATAATCGTGCAGTTTTCTAAGGAAGCATTTCCAAGATTTTGCGCCTTTAGCAGGTTCTACTAAAAAAAAAAAAAAAAAAAAAATTTGTTTTGTGCACAAATCAATTTGCGTCGATTGCTTTGTCCTTGTGTATTGTTTTGTTATAAGCCCCTTTTTTCATTAGCCGCGTGCAATGCTATTTTGTATTTTGTCTCTTAAATTTCGTTAGGTGTGCTCAGCGGCATCAGGAAGAATTTACTTTATCTCTTTAACTCACAGTATTACGAACACGAAGTCGTGGACCCCATACTTTATTATATTTTTCGAATCCTCATCGCAATTAATGGAAAATGGCAAAGTATTTTCTAAATCGATCGAACAAATTTCAAAAATATATACACAGTTCTGTAGTGTACGTAGATTGTCTTATAATGTAATGTGCGGGGTATTATCAATGTACTGAGTCAGGCCTAAATAATCTATTGTATAGGTTCATTGAAAGTTAAGGAGTACGATATATCTGGCATACCGTTTACCTAAAAATTAAAAATGGAACTTGCAATTTGTTTCACAACTCAAAGCCAACTCATTACTGAGTAAACTTCAGGATATAAGGCTATGCAGTATTCCTAAAAACAGGTTATTGCAGATTGAATTTCATCCCTGCCATCTAGAGCACACACACAAAGTTATATCACCATGTACTTCATGTTGCTATTACAGCTGTTTACATTGGAATTAAAAACATGCATGAACATAACGTATATTAATCCAATGATAAATTAATAGAAAATTAATGCTCAAAGGAGTTAAGCTACTAATATTTAAAAGACAGGTAGGTTGTATCTACAAATGAGCATGTATTTGTAAAACATGAAACTATCACTAGTGTGTTACAATTATATAAAGGGGTCGAGAGAATAGAATCTATACCAGAAGAAAAAGCCAAATGCAAATTGGTTGCAAATAAAACTACATTACATCCGATTGTTTCCTGGACTGGAATTCTTACAGAAAACAAGCAATTATTTATTGTGACATCGTCACAAAGCCAGACCGCAATTTTTAATCATATTTTAGATTCAATTGAGATAACGTAATTTCCGGATTGTATTAGAAGTTGGTATATATTTAATCGAAACCTACAGCATGTAAGGTTTCCACAGCAAATATCGTTTTTGATTTATCTAACTCCTTTACTCGAAGTTAAGGAAAGACAGACAGACAGTGGAAATTTATAGGTTTACAATTTTTTTTTAAATTTGCAACTCAATTGTTTCATTACTCTTATTCTTTCGATAACTATTTTATGTTTAATTTAAAATAAGAAAACTTTGCATTAGAATATGCACTTTCTAAGGTTGCTTTAAACCTATGTATATTTTTCTTATTAGTTGTATAGAAATATCATTAATTAAACTTGTAAATTCTTAAGGTAATATATCGAGCATTATGAATAAACTTATAATAATTGTTTCCAAATGCAGACAATCATCAAGTTACAGTAGAAATCTGTTTGTGTTTAATATCTTCGAATTAATATATAATTACTCTTAATTTTAACTGAAATCCTGGAGTAGGGATGCACAAACTATGGCCCCCTCGGCGAAATTCGGACCACCCGTACGTCCGCAGCCTAACATGACACATGATAGAAATAGTCCCACTTTTTGTATATGTAAAATATACAAAATATTTGTTGCCCACCCACTTACGACACGTGCATTTTGGCCAAACTTCGATTAAACACCACTGTTCTAGTGAGTAGATAATATTAAAAACAACCAATCCAATGAAAGCATTTGATAAAATTTTATTTTAATTTTCGTTTTTGTTAAAATTTTGTGAATGCAGTTTACAATTTTTAGAAGTAGAGGACAACTTCAAAGTAGTAATTATTGCCGGGATCGATGTCTTCTGGTTGAATGCCACTATTGTTTGCAATGTAGAAATAATTAAATGGAGTTGTAATATATACGTCATCACGGTTTAAAATTTGAAGTTCTAGATAAGTAGTGGAATTCTTTCTTAGAAATATTGGTTCTGGTAAACTGACGTTTCCGTGATAGCTACAGTCGAAAGTATCCCAGGGAATGTTATTTTCCGGTGAATTCGAATGGCCAAGTAGATGTACACTTCTCCTTTGTGAATGATGAAATTTTATTGGAAGCGTAAAACTTGTAATGTAGCAATCTTCTCTTACGAATATTTCGCATTTGAACCGGGTGTTTACATCGATTGGAATTGTAATTTCTAATTCATTGATGATATTAAACTGGTTTTGATACGTAAACAACGCATCATACATTGTTTCAGTTCTTTTGTCTGCATACCGGCAAAAATACTCTGGGTAGTTGTTGAAAGTTTGATTCTGGAGACAACTACGAATAGAATTTACTTCGATTTCTGTCAAGACGTGTTTAGTGAAAACATAAATTTCTGCCTCATCTATTGTCATGGCACGAAACCTAATTTTCGAAAGAAACGGTCGTATCTCTGTACGGATTTCTTCTTCCAATTCTCTGTTTTCTAAGTCAGGAAATTCTCTCGTAACTCTCTCTTTCACCCAACTATAAGAGGCTTCAAACAGACTTACTTCGTTTAATGAATAGTATATGGGACGCGACAGAAATCTCGTAATCGTTGTTTCTTTGGATTGTAAAAAGTCCTGAGTACGAAATATTTCATCCCAATGGCGATCGAAAAGTCTCCAGCATTCGTATTGTATAACTCTTTCGTTCTGTTCACACGCAAAATCATGAACCGAACACACATCTTCAACACTTATCTCTGACCTGATGTAATTTCTACAAACTTCCTTAAAATTGTCCATTTTGTAGACAATACTGAACCGGTACGATTCCATCGCAACTGCTACCGATGCAAATGACGTGTTTCCCCCAGATAAAAAGCTATAGTAAATAAAATATAATGTTCAAAATTATAATAAAATATTTACTTTAAAAGTCTTACGGAACTAATCCAGTACTATCTAAAAATATATATTGTACGAATTACCTATAAGTATCAATTATACGTAATTAATCGATGGATAAAGAAAAAACATACCTTTCTAATGCAAATATTAACTGCCCTGAGACTGGTAAGTATATAACAAAAGGTTTTAGCAACGGATCGATTGAAAAATACCCATTAAATATGGGAGTACGGTTTCTCAAATTAGAGATTAATACACGTACTTGATCACCCTCCATATTTTTGAGAAACACATAATCACCTTCCGTCGTAGAAGTTGGCATATCCTCTGAATTATTATAAAGTTGTAATATGCTCGGATGCGATTTTCACTTATTTATTAATTTTATTGTTTAGTTATAATTGTTGTTGTTGTATTATTTTGTGGTATTCTACTTTGTTATTGTTATTAGATAAGTTATGGACTGATTAATACAGGCATTATAAATAATGAAAAAATGAATTTCGGGTGTTTTAACATAATTAATCATTATGAATACTACTATTACCTAGTCGGAAAAAGTGATAATAATACGTTTAGAGCCAATCAGCTCTTGCATCCGAGTTGCGTGTGCGTATTGCATTTTGTATTGAATTTTTAATTTATGCCACCAATAGATAATCTTCTGTGACGTTTTAATTTTACTTTTGTCTCTTAAAACAATGTCTTCTTTTTTGAAAAAAGTAATGATTATGGAGCAATCATTAATTAACTGATATGAATAATCGCTACAACACCAATTAAACAGGTTAATAGATCAGAACATTCAAATTTTTACAAAATCGGCATATTTGATAATACAAAAAGTGAGTGTCATAAATAAATGTTGCTTCTAGAACATCTTAGTAATCCCAGTAACTTTCTTCAAGTACAGATGACACCCCTATAACACTGTTGATTATTCCGTTTTATATGAATTCCATTTTATATGAATTCCATGTTGTACGAGTCACTTAAATTTTACAAATACGTATGCTGGGCTGCGAACGGCTCACGTATTTGTAAAATGTAAGTAACTCGTACAACATGGAATTCATATAAAACGGAATAATCAACAGTGTAATGGGGGGTCAACTGTATACTATCAAGGCACTGTATCGCCATCTATTGGCAAAAATATAAATTTTAGTGACATTCTAGAAGTTTAGGTGGGATAATTACGTAAATGTTTAATAGATTTTTTTCCAAATTTAACTAGCGATTTCTCTCATTTTGTTCTAGTACTATGCCAAGTTTGATAAAAATCGGTCTTGATTTCGTTTAGTTTTTATACCTTAATTTTAAATTAGTTATAATTAGAAAATCACACGCTGGACAATTTTGGAATTCCAAATCTTCGCTTACAACTCAGACTAATAAAAATCTGTGAATTGAAAATTAATGTGATAGCTCGAAAGACGCGGGAGTAATGAAAAATATGCATATTTAAATCTTTTTATCATAAAATGAGCGTTTTTAATTTAACTCATAACAAACCTCATTTGTAGAAATTTTCTTATAATTTTCATTTCAAAGGCCGATATGAAAAAAGTTTCTTTACTTTTTCATACCATAACATTCCCCACCCACAGTGATAGTCCGAATCATTACGGCGATCGTTTGGATTTGATTAATAACATCGGGCTTTCAGAACTTTATATTGTTATTTTAGCTGTAACGATGAAATGTAATATTAATTTATTAAATCCAGAGAACTCAAATGAATGTAAATTTTGTTTTCTTTAAGAGATCAAAAGATCGTTGTATAGACACCCTGTTTATTCAGAAGTCTTTATGTAGCTGTTGTTATTTCATAAATATACGATTAATTTAATTATTATTTGTTACTTAACAACAACATCAAACCCGTAAGTACTGAATGCAATTTGGCACTATATTTTACGCTTCCGTGTAATGTTTGTTTGTTATGAACTTAAGGACATTTACTCTTGTAATATACTATGAGTAGTATTAAATAGTGAAGTAGGTTTATTATCGATGCATGCCGAAGTTGTTCCCAACATGATATCACGTATGTTCAGCAACATGTTGAATACGGTATATAATGCATTGAACACCTAAAAAAATAAAAAAATATCAATTTTTCATGTTAAATCATCATATTATATATGAAATACAATCAAAAGTTTATGGAATTTTAGCACATGATGTTATCAACTTCGTAAATGAGACCCTCAATGAAGTTAATAAAGCAGAAGGTGGCAGGTGCCGGGTCTGCTCACCCACCGACTGCCTCACGCAACGACAGAATTTATTCTTTCCACCCTTAGCACATTTTGAAGAAATATATTCTACAAAGCAACAACTAGTAAATAACATAATAATAATAATAATAATAATAATAATAATAACTAGTAGATAACATAAATAATAAAATTAACAATGGAACAGTTTAATTAAAAAGTAAAGATCTTTATTTTCACATAGCTATATTGATATACAATTATCTCCTAACACGGCGTATTTTCAGTTCAACTTCTAGCAATGAGTAATACGAACCTTCCCTATGGAACCACGCAACTCCATAAGTGCCCGAACGTAGGAAATCACTCTTATAAATTCCATTCACGTTGGAATACAGACAAGCACCAAACCACCGAATCACCATCCCACTTTATGCAGATCGAGACAGTTCGGCGGTATGACATCGTTGTCTTTGTCGTATGTACTTAATCTCATTCCGTCATAATAATGAGTAAGAGGTTCACCTGTAAACTGTTAGTCTTAAAAATCATTTTGCTGCATTTTCCACAGTATTATCCGCGAATTATGTATTTAAAACATAAGTTGATAGATATGAGAGTTACGGCATGACGCTGATTTTAAATTGCAATTAGAAAACTCGAGCATCTGCAGAAACGCGTGCTCCATATTCGCGGTTGGGCGAATTATGCAGAGGTTTTCGGACATTACGTTAAAGAAATCGTAGGTCGGTAGGTTAATTTACGGTGACGCTCAATATAAGGAAAAAGCTACTTATTTTTTAATTAAGAGGCGTTTTGCAAAAAACAGAATTAAGATGAATCTAATTTTTTTTCTTAATAACCTGCAATCTAAATAAAAAAACAAAAAAAAATGAATTTAGCCTAATTTGTACGAAAATCCAAAAACTGACGTCAGTAAAGTTTAAACTTCTATAATTTCTTAATAAAGGCATTATTAGAAAATTCTTTATTATCTTAGTTTTGCTTAAAGAATTTATCATATAACTTTGTAACATAAATTCTGTAATAACCTGTATACCTTAACGTATTACATTTTTCATAACAATTATCAAACAGTAATTATAACGACAGTATATCGATTTTTCGATCCCCAGTGTAAGTGCTTTGAAAATATTTTAATTCAGTTCTGTTAATTAATTTCGTGAGTTTTTTAAATAAATACAAGAATATTCTAAACTACATTAACAGTGATATGAATAACAATAAGCCCGTTTATTATGTAACTTAAAGAAGTTTAAGAACAAAAAAAACAATTGAATGCTAATGAAGAGTAACGAATCGCTTTAGTTTAATGCCCCTAATAAACTAACATTACTTCGCCAATCGTCGTGTGTTTTATTCAAGTACGAAGTTATCCTAGTACAGTTTTCTTTACTTGCAAAAATTCTTTACTTAGAAGCGAAGTGTTTCAAATTTATAGCTAGCTATGCAAATCACCTAAATTATATGTAATTTGCATAGCTGCATCGTTTATACCTTCATTGAATGTAGAAAAAATAAGCTAAATTGGCAACTCAGATGCATTGATTGTTTGATTTCATTAGCAATATAGTAAAACTTACAGGAACGTTGTTGCTGCAAGTACGTAAGAAAACTAACATAAACATTTTATCAACCTCGTGTAGTTATAAAACACAATAAACTGAAAATAATTAATAAAGTTTCTACTTATGAGTTATACAATACTGCAAAACACACAGTTAAAACATATTAAATACACATGTGTAATTTGTATTTCAAGGGCTGTAAAAATCGAAGTTTTCCTATATGAATATTTAAGTCGTCTGTTATAACTGCCAGATTGAAATTAAAATAAGGCTACAACTTGTGAGTCTGGCTTTCATAACTGAAAATTAATTTAGTTTCTTTATGGTGACAGGAAAGTGCGACATATCCTGTCATATGACTTATGAACGACACTTTTCCGAATCACGTTTCGGGCGTCACGTAATTAAACGTGGCATCTCCTACGCAATGAATTAAGAAAGAGAACATATTAATCTGCCAATAACATTATATTCTATGTACAAAACTGTATATAACATATATAATAAACTAGGCGTATAATTGAAAACAACTATTCACAGGTAAACATCAGCGAGTTGGTGTATGTACAAAGGAACTGTTAAAGATACACACATAAATAATATATAATCAAAATGGGTTGATAATAATAATAAGCACAAATGGTTAGGTGTTGAAAGTTGAAACTTGGTTGACAAATAGGTTATTAATTTATATGCCTCTGGGTCCTTATTCTATACATTAAAATGTAAAATGTCTACAAGGATTTATTAACAGAACGTATTAGACTGGTGACCTGGTTCAGCAAAATTTAAAAAAAATAATCAGAAAAACAGACTTTACGAGTATTATTTGTCTGAACTCCTTTTACAGGATATAACTGTGTTTCGGACCTGTTTGTCTTTCATCAACAGGTTTACATCCAAAAATGTCCAAAAGCAAAATATTAATACAATTTATAAAATTTTTCCGCATAAAAACCGACATTAAAAAAAAATAAAATAACTTACAGTATCTTGTGTAATTACATCAAAATTAAAAATTAGTAACGAAATAAATCTAAGCATATTTCCAATATTACTGTATTCAACGACAATAACTATAAGCCATTTTATTAAAAAGATGAGTTAAACATTTGTAAAACTTACTTATTCCACATGAACTATAACTTAAACAATTCTCTTAATACAATAGGTGTGTTACGAAAATTCATAACTATTAATTGTGAAATGTTCGTTCACAGATTTCCAAAGATAATCTTTTCGAAGCAATTAGCCTTTTCCTAACAATTCTTATTTTATGGATAATAATCAGATGAGTGTATCAGAAAATTATAAATTATATCTTTTTACTTTCATCAAAAGTAAACTCAAATAGCGTGTCAAGAAAATTTCGTGTTAAGTATACAGAAGGAAAGCATTGCCTTTTCTTTAAACTTTTCTATTAATTCATTTACATTGCTTCACTCCTCAATTTTTTGATAACAAAAATCATCGCTACATTTTCAATTTGGAGAATATTTTATTAACTTAAAATAATTGTTTCAGTTAAAGATTAAGTTAAAATTTTTAACAATATTGAAGTCTACGAGAACATTTTTAAATTTAAAGTTTAAAGTTATATTTAAAA